TTATAGTGCTGATAATATTGAATTCCTGACAGAAGCTTAATTTCAGAGGTGATGTTATAAACTAAGATCCAGGGTTCACTTCTAGTTGGGGCCCATATCTGCTTTTAACATTTTATATTAAGGATAATTCTAAAACTGCAGCACACTCCGCTTCTTCTTCAAAGTTCAGCAGAGTCACGACAGGGTATCAGCACAAGTTATGGTGCAGCACCTAATCCCATAATTTTATGCCTTAGTAGTGAGAAATCTGCTGCTATTTGTTGTATTTGGGCTCTGACAGTACGTGCCTTTTAGGGATTCTACCATTCTGCCTTGGATGAGTGGATTATTGAGCTTTTGATGTAGTGGCCTGTGTAACATCTTTTTATGACACTTCCCCCTCCTATTTGTATCTATACTACCTTGGCACTTCAAAGATACCATTATTGACGGTGGTGTTATTCATTAATATTTTGTTGTTTCCTTATGGCTGGTCAAAAGAAAGCAGCTTTTGCTAATTGACAGACTTTTATTATGGGATTGGGATCAGCACCCAAAAAAGATTTCCTTTATTGCTTAGCGCCTTAGTAATCTCTGATTTAAACTTATTCAGTAAATAATGTATCCTCCAAAATGAAAGGAAGGCAATGTTAGGAAACTGTTCATTTAAAAGGGTCACTAAACTGTGTACAATGTATCTATGGACCGGTGATGTTCGTCTTGATTTATTTCTGGATTTATGTTTCTTTCAAACTTGTTAAGAGAAAAAGTTGGATCTTAATAACAATGCCAGTCTCTAAAACGTTAAACAGTATGCACTGTCTCATATACTACTTCAGCATCTCAATGATATTATAAATGCAAATGCAGCACAGTTTCCTAACTGATGTTAGATACACCTGATACTAGATTTACATTTTCCCCAAGGGAGCTTCTCTTTTCTGTATGCAGTTTGCATCTCCAAAAGGAGATTTGTAGGAATGTTACAGCAACTTTATTTTTAATCTAGCCATTTAGATTTCCCTTTATCAGTTAGTAGATCATACTATTTACCCATGTTTATAGTCTAGTAATTACCTTTTGCATGTTAATTATGTAAACTCTATTTCTGCTTATGTACAAATTAAATCTAATCTTGACATTATAAAAGGTATCTTCCACAACTCCTAGTCCATTAGTGTATTATACAAGTCTACTTGTTGTGGTTTTCTAAAAAGGAAAAATGCATGTTATTGGGAACTAAATAGATATGGAGATACAGCACCAGTCCTAGCTGTGTCATGACAATAGCTAAATTGCAGCAGACAAATGTCTTCTAAGAGCACATAGAAGGAAAAACATTACTTGTCTTCCCACTTAATGACAGGATGTACTTCTTGACTGTTAATGACAGGCTAATGTTGTGTTATGTCACCAGAACACAGGCTTCAGGAGAACAGCATAGAAATTAAACTTGTTAAGCAAGGACATTGTTGATATAGTACTTTAATTCCCAACAGCAGCATTAAATCATAGTATCATTTTTCTCCTTTAAAAATGTTTCTTACAATCTCTGACAAGTGTTTGTTAAATAAGAGTGTCAATAATTCAGAATTCAAAAGATGGACATTTTGCTATGTAAATATGACCTAAATGGTTTTGTTGTTTTTGTTTTATCCAGCATTTATTTAAATGATATGTTCTTACCAGACTGTAGCATATGGAGTAGTAATTGTTTGGTCCTTTGCTTTATAGGAGGTGTTTTACTTCAGTATATGGAAATTTCCGTGCGCTAACATAAGAATGTAATTAAATACATTTTAAATATCTAAAAGTAATATTTAATTTAATTTTTCAATCTATTTCTGTGCCAGAGAAGCCCATGGAAAACATCCTTTATGCTGTTTCTACTTTACAGAGACAAGACATTTTTTGTGTGTATTGGAGCATAGAATTTTCACATCTGTGCCAAAGGATTGTTTCAGCTACATGTTGTAGTGAATTGTTTATCTGAAATATTGTTATTGAAATGTGTTAATGGACTGTCCCTACTAAATGTGAAATGGCTCTGATTTGCAAAACTGCATTTCATTTAGATTGGGTAACAGATATTAGATATTTTTAGCACCATTGTGGAAGAATGGTGCTAAAAATAAATCTCTGCTTTTGAAAATGCAGGGTACTGTAGTGAAGGTGTAATCTACGTGAGGTGAAAGACTTTGGTGTTGAAACTTAATGCTCAAATACTCCTGTCTCTTTTTAAAAGTCCCTCTGTTTGCAGGACAATTGCAGGTTGTCAGTGATATAAGTCACACCAAAATTTTACTGAGCATTTCCTTTAATTCAATCATATTAGACTTAGAAGCTGTAACATTTGGAGTTCAGCTGGGTATACAACAAGGTGATTAATGATACTTTTCTAATGTACTTCATGATGGCCACCAAAAAATAATTATAATAGCACATTGTTAAAATTCCGTTTCTGTCTTTCCCAACTCTACGTTAATAGATAAACTTTTAGGTTAAGCTAACATTGAATTAATTTATTATGAGAATAACGTAGGTGTGTTTGAAGAGATACAATGTCTATTTCCTGTCATCATGTTTGGTTAAGAAATAAAAGGTACAAAGTATATACATTTAAACATTCAAAGAAACATTATTTTCTCTGAAGCATCTCTGAAGCAGTCTCCCTATCTTTATATATGAGTTTGGTGAAACCTTGTTATGGATTGAGTTATCACTTCATTGAGATTTATAGGTGTGAACTCTTAGTCTTCAGTTAACATAACTGTAAGGATAAGACCTAGCCTAGGACAAAGGGGGTTTGTGAACCTGTCTAGGAGTTTGGACGAGTAGACAAAAAGGTTTTTCTGAGTATTGTTTTGGGTAGGTTGCAAGAGGGGGGAGGGATAGCTCAGTGGTTTGAGCATTGGCCTGCTAAACCCAAGGTTGTGAGCTCAATCCTTGAAAGAGCCATTTAGGGATCAAGGGAGAAATCTGTCTGGGGATTGGTCCTGCTTTGAGCAGGCCGTTGGACTAGATGACCTCCTAAGGTCCCTTCCAGCCCTGATATTCTATGAAAAGGATGCAGAACACCCAAACACTGAGAATATAGAGAGAGGTAAAAAGCAAGGAAACCAAGCAATATAGATGTGCATACGCACACACACCAGCAAATGAAGGAAGGTATCCCTACCACCACCTCTGGTTATCCAGGCAGGACCATTACAAGTAGCTCTTTAAAATATGGCTATTGAACCTGCTCAGAATTATTGTCTCCCCCTTAGGGGTTAATTTGAAAGGTACTGTGCCATCACAGATAATGGAGATTTTCAAAGTACAGGCATTGCTTCATGCACCAGCTCTTTACCTTTCTCATAGCTTTGCAACTTTCTGTGACTTGGTTCTGTGCAACAAATTTATTTTTATTGACTTTGGTGTAAATGTGACCTCTCTGTTGTACAGGTCGGTGTCTGAAAAGCCAAGAGCTGAGATGTTCCATTGTTTGGGAGACTAGATTAAAATTTGCTAAATCCAGACTACAGAGATGAAGTTTTTTTCTGAAAGTGTAACTGAGTGAGGCAAAAAGGACAGCATCCTCAGTGAAAGTTATTTCAGCAATAAAATCCTGATAGATACTTCCAGCTAGACCAGAGGTGGGCAAACTATGACCCGTGGGCCACATCCGGCCTGCAGGACCCTCCTGCCCGGCTCCTGAGCTCCTGGCCCGGGAGGCTTGCCCCCGGCCTCTCCCCTGCTCTTCTCCCTCCCCCGCAGCCTCAGCTCGCTCCGCCACCAGAGCAATGCTCTGGGCGGCGGGGCTGTGAGCTCCTGGGGCAGCGCAGCTGCAGAGCCCGGCCTGACCCGCTGCTCTGTGCTGTGTGATGGTGACAGTGTGGCTGGCTCCAGCCAGGTGGCGCGGCTATAGCGCTGCCAGCCATTGGTGCTCCAGGCAGCAGGGACAGGGAGAGGGAGGGTTGGATAGAGGGCAGGGGAGTTTGGGGTGGGGCAGGGGTCGGGGCGGTCACAGGGCAGGGAACAGGGGGGTTGAATGGGGCCAGGAGTCCCAGGGGGACAGTCAGGAATGAGAGGAGGGGTTGGATGGGGCGGCGGGGAGCAGTCAGGGGCAGGGGTTCCGAAGGCAGTCAGGGGACAGGGAGAAGGGGTGGTTGGATGGGGTAGGGGTTCCCGGGGGCCAGTCAGGAAGGTGGTGGGGTTGGATTGGGTGGTGGGGGGCAGTCAGGGGCAGGGGTTCCGGGGGCAGTCAGGGGACAGGGAAAAGGGATGGTTGGATGGGGCAGGGGTCCTGGGGGGGAAGTCAGGAATGACAGGGGGGTTGGATGGGGCAGTCAGGGGCGGGGATTCTGGGGGTGGTCAGGGGACAGGGAGCGGGGTGTGGGGGTGGATGGGGCATGGGTCCTGGGGGCCGCGGATAGGGGGTAGGGGCCAGGCCACGACACCCTCCCCTAACCAGCCCTCCATACAATTTCCGAAACCTGATGCAGCCCTCAGACCAAAAAGTTTGCCTGCCCCGAGCTAGACAGTAGTGGTCAAAATATGGGGTTACAATGAGGGGAAATATAAAGGGACTTTATTATTTGCCAGATTTGTTATACATGAAAAAGGATTATTTCATTTTCAAAAAGATATATAAATTTCTGTTGGGTTTTTTTTTTTTATTTTATTTTATGTGAATCCGTTTTACTGCAAAAAATTCAGAATCTTAAAACAAGAAATGTTCCACATTGCTGCTTCAGGTTATCTGATATAACACTTACTCTGTACATGAGTATTTGCATATAGGCTGTGATTCAGTAAAACACTAAATGCATTTTAATCCATTCCTATTCAACAAAGGAATTAAGAATGTGTTTAAATTCATGGGATTTGGGCACGTGCTTAAAGTGAAACACATGTTGGTGTTCTTTCCTGAATTGGGGGCAGAGTACTATATGTCATCTCTCTCTCTAGCAATGATGAATAATTGAAACCGCACAATTTAGATATTTTCCCTGCATTTTGTTAAATCTTGTTAACAGGGTAAGAAGCAGGAAGTTCCTCGGGAAGAACAGGGACCAACCACTAAGAATTTGGATTTTTGGGCCCAACTCATTACTCTGATGGTTACCATCATTGATGAGGATAAAACAGCATACACGCCTGTCTTGAACCAGTAAGTACCCTCCTTTGGAAAGCTGTATGAAAAATCAGGGATTTAATGAAAGGAAATACACTGGACTTCAGCATTTTCAGTTTTGATGTGATTAGATTTGATTAAGTGGCAAAACCTGAAAGACAGTAGCTTCAAACTGCACTTGGTACACTTTTTTAAAAACTGCTCTCTTTCCTCAAAAGCAGAATGTAAAAACAGTTACGAAAATGACAACCAATCTCCTCCTCCTCAACTCAAAAATAGAAATGGATAGAAATAGACATGAGCTGAGTCCTTAAGGATATTCCAAACCCAAAAATCCTTGCATCAAAAACCTCTTAAATTTCTGATCCTGCCAGCTGAGATGGACCATCATGGCCACGTGGAACCCCACTGTAATTGGCAGGGCCCTGCCTCCATGTATCTGATTGTAGAATCAGGGCTGAGGGTTAGGGTAGTTACCTGTCACTTCATTTATAAACCCCAAGCTTTCCAGTAGCGAGTTCTTACATGTCTGACAGTGGAGAGTAATAGGAATTTCATTTTTTCTCAAACATTTTTCTCCACAACTTTTGGGAGTACTACTTTTACATATTTTCTGGGGGGCAAGAAAGCATTGTGATAGAGCACTTTGAATAGCGCCAGTCAACTGTGTGATTGATGAGACATGACTTGATTGCCTCAATAGAGCCCTTGATTCACAGTGGAATTCCCCTGGGCTTTAGTGGGAGTCCCTGCAGTTTGCAGCCTCTAATGTGATTTAAGAGGAACATGTTCTTTAAGTGAATGCAAGTCAGAAGAAAAACATGTTGTTCAATGTTTAAATAGTAAATATTATTTTTCTGTTAGGTTCCAGACTAATTTAATACTTGTTTAACTAACTTACAAGAAAATAGAGGATTCTTCCAGGTCTGTACAGCTAATGTCATGCACAGTACCTCATAGAGCAGTAGCTATCAGCAAAGGGAAATGGATGTTTTAATGGAAAGGATCAGTGGACCCAAACCAAAACTCTGCATTGAAACATACCTGAGTTTTGGGAAATCAAGATCTATATCCAAACTTTGAATCGCTGGCCCATCTCTAAATAAGAGCTTTCTACTCGATTTGCAATTTACAGTATATATGCGGAGAGAGTTCATCTAAGAATTCTGTTCTACAGTACAAAAGTATCAGAAGACCCACTTCTTGTAGCACTTAAGTATTTGATGCTGCATAAAACTTTGTGATGCGTTATTGGGCTAGTTTCTAGGAATTAATACAGACCCTACTTTCTGTTCTCTCCATGTTGAATCTGGTATGACTCTGCAATCGTGGATGAAGAATATCTGTTTAGTCCTTTACAATACTAGTATCTAATTGAGAACCAGGATCCCAGTTAAAAAAAATAACTATGTGGATAGGAATCTTGTGCTTAGTGCCACTCAAAATATATGAAAGAGATGGGCCCTGGGGTCATACAATTTAAATAGAAAGACCAAGTGGTATTCATTTTTTTAACTTTTGAAATGAAATTATACAATATTTCTTTGTTTGGATTAATGTTTTATGGAAGAACTGACATGATTAAAACAGTATGCTGTAAAATGTAATTGATATTTGCTAGATAATGTTGTAGAGCCACATAACAGTGCCAGAGAAACTTACTGGATATACTTTCCATACTTTTTTCTGAGGGAAAGTTCCAGGCTAATCGTATGAGAGACTAAGGTAGGATGACCAGATGTCCCGATTTTACAGGGACAGTCCCGATTTTTGGGTCTTTTTCTTATATAGGCTCCTATTACCCCCAACCTCCTCTCCCAATTTTTCACATTTGCTGTCTGGTCACCCTAGACTAAGGAGCTGAATGCTTCTAGCTTAAAAACTCTGTTGTGCTTCCCAAGAAGCAGTTATAATGGTCAGGCACCGGGTTTGCCAACTGGGACTCCAAAGGGATATCTCTAACTGTTAGGAAAGGATTGGAATTTCTGATCTAGTTTATGATTTCAATTATGGGTATAGAGTATCAGGGGGTAGC